ATCACAAACACAAATCCAATGGTTTTCTTCTTAAGCATTGATATCTAACATCAAGTCCAATGTTTTTTTTTCCTTCACAAGATATCACACATCAAGTCCAATGGTTTTTTTTCTTCACAAGATATCACACATCAAGTCCAATGGTTTTTTCTTCTTCACAAGATATCACACATCAAGTCCAATGGTTTTTTTTCTTCACAAGATATCACACATCAAATCCAATGGTTTTCTTCTTAAGCTGAATTGCTGATCACTAATCACTAAAAAAAAAGAAACACTGAATTATTATTGTAAATAAAAACAATATTATTCACTTAATTTTTGCATCACTATTGCATTTTTTGTAATTAAATACTTAACTTTATTGCACGTGGCTTTACAACGACATGGCAGGCGGCCATTTTGATTGTGTCCAAGCGCGATGTATTTTCTTTCGTCTAGATGAAGAAACATATTGTATACTTGTCGGTAAGTGAATTAAATATTTCCATCATTTGATGATAACAGCATAATTTTACCAGTCGGTACAATGAAGTAATAGCTAGTACCGCTGCTAGATGGCGATACATATTCTCTTTACCAGTTGGTGATAAATGATAATAATTTCCTAATAAACATTTTTATTAATTGATTAAAAAGTTAATAAAATACCAGGCATTTATACTATATGATAACCACAAATAAATGTATTTGAATAATTTTATAATATTTACCTCTTTACATATTTTTAGTTGAGATTAGTTTTTTCAATAATAACAGCTGCATATTCTTTTTCCATAATAATAATGAAATGAAATTCCCTGCAAAAGAAGATATTAATTAACAAATACATCAATTTTTATTATCAGCCAATGGAAAAAAAGTAATATTTTCTATTACCGTGTGTACATAAAACTTGATAAAATATTTTGACTTAAATTGAATGTCGGTAATATAATGTATTTGCCACGTGGTTTTTCCATATATCTTGTAATGATAACTAAGATATACATTTCTTCTCGTCTTCTTTTGATAAAATATTACACACTATATACATATTGTTTTCTCGCAATACAAGTATGATAAGAAGAACACAGAGTGCATTAAACTGGAATTGCGTGCAGAATTGAAGTGATGGTTAAAAAATCCCTCATGACTGTATGGGATATTTGGTTATGGATGGAGTCATAGGATTGCGTGGAAAGTTGAAGTGATGGTTAAAGAAAAACCCTCATGATCGTGTGGATTCTCTCCTTTTGAATGGTGTCATTGGTGTGCGTGGAAAGTTGGTG